ATGAAATAGCGTTTTTGCGATCGCCTTTTGCCTCTTCTATACGCCAGGGTCAGCGTTCCTTGGTGCTAATTCAGTGTATGGACGCTTTTTGTCAACTTCTGTATTAGTCTCGTCTAGAGAAGACAATAGGACGTTGGTGTACGAACAGAAGTTCAGAGCCAGCTCTACGGGCTCGATACATCCGGTCTCGCCTTGAATATTATAGCCTCGTGCTTCTGTTATTAGTGCCATTACTCAGCGACTTCAACATGTGCTTTCAAGTCACAGTATTAAACCAACACTTCCTGGTTCGCTTATTACCAGCATCGGTCTAGCCTACCCACTCCCGTCAGTCAGCAACCCGGATCTCTCAGTAAACAAAATCCAGTCTCCTCGCCTTTCCTAGAAGCATTTTCCCCCTTCACCAATATCACCATTTACCAGTTAATCCATTGAAATGATTACTAGCACCCAGCTCGATGGCATTGCCCTTGTCGTAGGAGTAAGGTGGTGGTTCATCCCATAGCCGTCTTCAGCAGTTTGCTAACAAGCTGCAAAACAGTCCGGGAGAGGTATCGGCCGGGAAGCGGCCTTTTCGCTTGCCGAGGCCGGAGCTAGAGTCGTCGTGTTTGCAGACATGAATGAAGAAACGGCGAGACAATCGTCCGAGGAGAGTAAGAAGTATGCCAGCAATAAAGACTACAAGACGACAACCTTCACGATGAACGTCCAAGACGACAAGTCGGTCCAAGACATGGTTGACTTTGTTGTACGGGAATTTGGCCGCCTGGACTACGCCGTGAATGCTGCTGGAGTCGACAACGGCGTGCATGCTCCCTTTGCCGAGACGGACATCGACAACTTCGACCGCATCATGAATATTAATGCGCGCGGCAACCTGCTCTGCGTGCGTGCGCAGGTTGCCGCCATGCGGAAGCAGGACCCTAAGACCTGGAGCAGCAGGAACGGCGAGCGTGATATCGGCCGCGGCGCCATTGTCAACCTCGCGTCTGCCAACTCGTTCGCTGGTCTTCCCGGCAAAGGTTCTTACACGATTTCGAAGCACGCGTTCATGGGTATCACCAAAATGGCGGGTAAGTGTCGACAACTGATCAGCACTTGAAGAAACGGCCTCCAGCACTAGGCGATAAATGAAAGGCTGACGCTCAGCAGGCCTCGATCATGCCGCGGAGGGAATTCGCGTCAACGCAGTGTGCCCAACTTGGGTGCGAACGCCGTTGCTGGATGTAGAGTTGAAGAAGAACCCAGAGGTCCAGGGCATGATTTCGGCCATCGTCCCTATCAAACGCGCAGCAGAATGTGAGGAGGTTTCGGACACCATCGCATTTCTGTGCAGCCCTGCAGCGAGCTACATCAATGGTGCCAGCTTGCTCATTGATGGCGCCGTGACTACCACCGTACGTCTATTCTAGGGTGCTAGATTAGCAGACAACATGCCATACGTCTTTAAAGGATGGCACAACGAAGTAGTATACCTTCATAGCAGGGTCTGCTTAAGAAGTGCCATGGAGCAATGAACACCAGCTCACATCTTTCACTTCCACCGTTCTTTACAAAATATATAGATAAGGTCAATTATCCCAGTCTGTATACAATGCATTTTTGCGACGCTCGAAAGAGCTCCTTGTTTACAAATTCAGTGCTAGACAGAGGAACAAGCAAGAAAAGTCATCCCTCCTTAGTGGGCTGTGTCATACCGAAAGCTGACCTCCAACTCGTCTCTTATAGCTTCCAAAATGGTGTCAACCCGAATCAGCTCATAAACCGTATTATTAGAACTAAACACGCCTTCGCTTTAACGGGCGTCTCTTAAAGCAGATATGACCTAAAACTTCAAATGACCACAGGATACAGTGCGTGTTAGCTCTCTATTATTTTGCGCGACTCATGATCTATCATTAGACATTTTTTCATTCCTTACCTAGCACGTTATACAGCCATCACAATCGTAGTTCGAGTCTATGATGCCTCTAGTGTAGTTTCATTTTTAATGTCTATGCTAAACATGTTTAGAATAATTTGATTAAATATTTAATTAAAAAAAATGAGTTTAACTTTAGTACTTTTTTTAATAGGAATTTTAGGGTTCGTATTTAATAGAAAAAATATAATATTAATGCTTATTTCAATAGAAATAATGCTATTATCTATAACATTCCTAATATTAATAAGTTCTATTAATCTTGATGATATAATAGGGCAAACATATGCTATTGTTGCGTGCTGGTTCGTCAAGTGGGATGCTAGACTTGGCACGAGGATTTTCAATATTAGATGAGATGTACGAAGTAAAGGGTCGTAAGACATAAGATGCACGTAAATAACGTAGATTAAAACACACAAGTAAGATGTAATGTAAATGTATGATAGTTGTTGAATTCATCTACGACGTCTTGCCTCATCTGAGCAAGAGCTACTTGGAACTTCGCGCCAAGGTCCTGGGTTGCTTGTTCCAAGGAGAGGATCTCACTATACACGTCGGACTACTTGCTCCTGATTTTCTTTAGTGAGGCACACACTGCATGACCCAGGAGAATCTTACATGACTAGGATTTGAGTCGTGACTATGATTTGTGTTTGGAGCTGTTGTATTCGGTCGATAAACTCGCTGATCCGTTCCTTGGACCATATCTCCTTCACAGCCGCCCTGAAGCTGTGCTATTTGTTATGAGGGTATTTAGCTTTCACTTTGCTCGCCAAGATACACAGCTCGCCAGCCATCTCTTTGCTCAGTCGGTTGAGTTCCTGCAGCTCAGGTGGAAAGCCTTCGTCCGTGGCAATAGAACCACCGAGCTTTGCGGCGCTGTCTGCGATGGCCTCCAGAGCCTGGTTGCTGAGGGTAAGGCCATCTTTGGAGCTGTAAATGACTCTGGCGCTGGACACTAGTTTCCACGAGATATCGAAGAGCTGGAGAGCATCGCTCGTCTCATTCAAGGCTTTCAATGGTTCCATTGTTCAATACCTTGTCGAATGGTTGTGGCCCGAAAGAAATTCCCTAGAATCATCGAGCTGTGATGTCGGTCAATGTCAGCTTCGTATCGAGAATACTTCCTTAATTAACGTTGCCACGTGATGGCTGTTCAGTTCAGAATCGCAGGCCGGCCGCTATATTAGCTGCAGGGTGACTGTAGGGCCGCCTGGAGAGTCGATTTGTCTGTCGCTTCGCAGTGTTCAATAGCTTTCAACAGCAACCACCAACAATTTTAACTTTAAACGTAGTTTATAATATATTGTATTTTATGTCGTAAATGCTTTTGGTTGTCTCTCATGGACGTATCTTATGTTTGAAGAGAATATCTTGATCATAACTGGTGTACAACAAGCCCGCCGTCATCCCCTACAAAGCGGCAGCTGACGTTCGATAAAGTTATGTGGCAATTTCCTGGGTATTATAATGCTAGGTGATCCGCCAGTCAAGATATGGCTCCCCGTGTGTAGTGCATGTTCCATGTTCCCTGGTTGTATTTACCTGCTCAGTCCGGAGCGGCTCACCTTCGCAGCCGACTCTCGGCGTCCCCATTTCCACCGTTCCTCATCCTCTCATCCAGCAAACCTTCTTCGAACAAAATAGCCCATCGGCCCGCCAAATCTTCCAAGTTCCAGCCGATTGACGAATCGTTACCAACTTCTGCAGCAACGGACGTCACCAGCTTGCCATCCAGACCGCACGGAACGAACCGGGCCCACGGATTAACAGTCTCACTCCCCGTCACCGGGATATCGATATTGACAGCTATACCCAGAGCTGTCACGTACCGGCGGTGGTGAACGCCCAAGGCAGCGATTTTGCGTGGCTGCCCGCTGGATGCTGCAACCCAAACGCCAGGTTCGTCGCGAGCAACGTAAGTCTGGATGCCAAAAATTTCCGATAGCAGACGTTGCGTAGTCGTTTCCAAGTGACTCGCATACGACGCCACGCCATATTTTGGATACAACGGTGAGTGCATGTCGATAATGGGCCAGAGTACTATTTGGCCAGGGCCATGATAGGTAGTAAGTCCACCGCGGCTTGTTTTCTTGACCTGCGGATTGAATCTTTGCGTGACGGTGGGCCGTCGATGCGGCAATCCAACTTCCAGCGTGCGTTGCAAACGTGCAGTTTGGTCTGGCATGAGATCCTCCTGTCGACGACCAAGGGTGTAGGTTGGCATAGCCTCAAAAGAGACCAGCCGCGGTTTGGGGATCTCGGAAGTAGATATTGACTTCTGGTCGTCTGATAGCGCTTTCCATGCTAGAAACCTGGCACGATGCTCCTCCTGAGCAGCCTCAGCTTGATCGTACGAGACCAGACCTGCTGGTTCGTTTCCTGTCAGGTGGACGTGCTCTAAAACAGACAGGCCGCTTTTCGACTGTGCCCATCTCTGCGGAGCACTTGCAGCAGGGTTGACGTCGATTGTAGTTTTCGATAGCCAGCAGATGTGAGGCAGGCACGCAGCACGTTGAACTAGGCGCGACGCTGCACGAATGCCGCCGCATCGCAAAGCGGCCACACTTTGCATTATGTGGAAGACATGGATATGAATATCAGCGTCAATGATATAGAGCTAGCCTTGAATTGCTAGATGAACACGTCAATCGTGGATAAGAATACACGGGGCCGTCATATGGAACTTTGCTCCTTCCCTTCCGACTCCAACAAGCGCGCATAAGTGAGTTCTTTTGGTGTGGGGAAGTAGGTGTGTGGTCTAAACCGGCCCAAGCCGACCCACTATACTCCGTATATATTACCAGCAAAAATTTCTGGACCAAGCAAGCTTCAATACCAGCGGCGCCGCCGTTGGTGTAAGCCGAAGCACTGGTCCCACACAACCCGGCCGTAGTTTTGGAGAGGCGGAAAGTACATACAGCAAGTACGGAGGACAGGACGAGGCTAATAAGGGGGATGAAACAAGACATGCAAAAAATCAAAATCAAGCGACCTGAACCATCTCAGTGCGGCCGTCGTCGCCGCTCTGATAACTAAGAGAAACATCAAAAAGAAAGGCTCGAACGAGCCAGACGGGTTTCGCCGGGGATTGAACCCGGGACCTCTCGCAAGCTAAGCTAAGGGTTGTCCCTAAGCGAGAATCATACCACTAGACCACGAAACCAAGCATGAGCTTGTTGTTGTGTGCATTATTGCCAATCATAGTATATGTTCATAAGTTTCTGCTTTCCGGTTTGTTTACTGAGGTATTCTACTACGAGACCATCAAGACAGAACCAATTGGAATGGGCTATATGTATTTATCCCGGACACTTCTCTAAAAGCTATGGCCAAGAAGCCATGATTTTGCGTTCAAAAATGGTACTTCCGGTTCAATGCGGTCGTGACATTGGACCAAAGCATGAAAGTGCACACCCCGGTCCATGGACCACGAAGGTGACTCAATGATCGATAACTTTCAGGGGACACTTCGCTCGAGCTCTTTGGGACGATAGTTTTTTGATAAATCGTAAAACAGATTGATTATGGAGGCGGCACGAGATCGAGGACGCCACCTGCCAGGCAGGGCCAGCTTGTATCAAAATGCTTCTGGAACTTGCATTAAATAGAATTCTTCCTCATCGCGTGGGAATGCGAGCAGAGTAATTGCATTCCAAGAGTTTATAAATAAATGACACGCTGACTGGTTCTCACTCGCAGTGCATTGCGCGAGGCATGCTTTTCGATTTGTTAGGTGTTTGATGTATGTGCACATCACGATGGCTTCATGTCTGGGTATTCTACTTTGCTTACTCACACGCCCCCCAGACCGTAGACGATGACCTTGGCACTGTTCTAGGACGACTAACGTATTCTGAAGGCACATCTTGAGCATTGTCAGCCCTTTGTTGAGCATGCTGATGGTGCCATCACGGGAGCTATGCCTTTAAAACACATGTGCACTATGCTGTTAATCCTCATTCTTTCAGGCTCAGATGTGTTAACCGATAGCCACAAAATTTGCCATCATGCCAATTGGGAAGTCTACATGCCCGTCTGGTGCACGTAATGAGTTTTGAGTGTCCGGTGGACCAGCTGATGGAGGCTCAAACACTCCCTTAGCGCGATAACAGTATGTGAAGCACACATAGCACCGTGATAGACATTGAATGCAGGAAAAGATCTACTTGATTGGAAAATAACACCTGTTATTATCTTCCGTATGGTTTCCTCGACTCTAATTACCACAAATGCCAACTTAATAGTCTTCTAGTATGAGAAGTCCTCCTCCAACCAAGCCGAGATTAAGTCAAAGCGACAAAAGCGTAGGTTACTAATAGCCAAAAGAAAGATGCCGATGGTTAAAGACGAACCTTCGAGGGCCCTGATTTCATCTGATGCAGAGACATTAACGTCGCCTATGCGGCATGCTCTGCAGTCCGCCATCTCAATTATTAGACGAAGGCCTCCACGCCACGACTGAACTATAAGCATCTATCCCTTCTCGGATTCGGACTTAATATAGGGTTTGAACAGAACTGTGCCAGTGAACTAGAGTTGAGGAGGGTATCGCAACGTCGGTGACTGCTGCAGCAACAGGAACTTTCAAGATAAGTGAGAAAACGTGGGAATAGGTGAGAAAGCCGGCGAATTATGTGTGCTCCTGCAACAAGATGATGCTTCTTATGTCCCTACTTTTGCGACTGAAGCTGCCTGCCGTAGCTGTAACTCCAAGCTAATGTTCAAGGTCGTGACGAGGCTGTTCGCATATCCAAGCCTCGTGCACTTATAATTGCATGTAAATGGCATAGAGTCCCTATATTTTCACTCGAGAAAGTCGCCAACGTTCTTATGCCGAGTTAAGATAGAGAACGGGATCAGAAACTGCCAGCTCACCGCGAACAAGTGCCATCACCCTACTTGAGCTTGCAGACGAATGTACGCAATTAAACCCACTCTTACTAGGAATTACCGTTCTGGAGACTATGCCTTTAGGTTTGCGTCTACCTACTTTCACTCCCTCGAGGATGACTGCTGTGAACCACTGTGAAGCTGCGCATTGGACAGGACAAAGACAAGGGACGAACGACAACCTACTCAACAAACTCAACTAGCCGGGGACTCTGGTAGGTAGATTACCTATGTCATTTTACAGTCAAGGTTAAGATCGCACACTCTATTTTATAACGGCCGTAAATAGATCGAGTATGTATAGGGAACTCAATCGTTAATGCAGCTTTAAGGACAGCTGTTGACACTGTCTACCATGCTAAGAATCCTTGCATAGCTGGGTCTTCTTAAATGATTTAGTAATTGAACGTTAAACTCTGCGGCTACAACGCAAGAACTACTTGTTGATTGCAAGATGCCAGAATATTCCTCTCCTATGAAGTGCTAGCAAAAAGAACATTCCGATGCATTAGTTTTATTAGCTGCCTTCTGCGGGATACCTCTACGCTATCTTGTCATTACTGCCTTCTTTCTTACTGTACCGTCAGAAATTGTTTTCCGGCAGGGGGTTAGCAGGAATTTATGATGCTATGTTAGTTGCTCAATGTTTTCCGGCAGGGTAATGCAACCTACAAATCGAGATGAGTCTATGAGTGACCGAACAAATAATTTTATAGTGCTCGTTGCTGGACCCATCCTAACCGTGCGTGAAAACATCAATATATCGATATATATATATTTTAGCCTGCACTTTAGAGAATGCACGCCGATCAAGTTACCAATCATGTCAATGGAGAGAAAATTGACCCGGTCGGTCGGTGAATTGAATGAAAGTATCGCCCTACTAGAATAGAGCATGCGCGTGATTTAAACTCGCTTACCGTCTAACAACCTCGAGGTAAATATTTGTTTTTACTGGTGTTGCAGCTGGGATAGCTGGGATAGAGCCGCCAGCGGACACGAATTTACCCGTGCCCAGTGTTGACCACTCTTTCGACAGACAACCCAACCCGCATTTGGGTTGCTGATATTAATCCTGCGTCTTCAGCTGCTTGCTTCAGTCTGCATAGCCCCGACAAGACCTTTTCATCCAACGGTCTGGCCACTTGCTACTGCTACGTACAGAGCAGACGCATGCATGCCACTTACAAGCACTCCAATCAACCCAGACTCCATGAGACCTACTAGCATGCGCGGTTCGGCCCTAGGCCCTGGTCCGGATTCAGCGGATTGAGCAGCAACTACTCCGTACAGGCTGAAGAGTCCAAGGCCGCACTATACCAGTAGCCACTCGCACGGAATGGTCCATCCAGGCTGCCGGACGACGGACTAGAGTCAATAGTTGTTGAAGAACAGTGAGCAGTAGTACCCAAGGACGCAAGTAGCTAAATTATCATCGCTCTTTTACCGTACGGCCCGCACTACGATGGGAAACACAGCATCTCGCCCCCGGTCATGCCGTGATTCCCGCTTCCTCGGGCGCTCCGGATTTGGGCATCTGGTCCATCGCAGCAAGTGGAGGGGTAAACAAGGGCTCGACCCAACAATGCGAAGCACCAAGACCGGGTGGGAAGCGCCACAAGCCCGGATAAGACACTTTCCTATCTGAGGGGTTCTCAAAGGGGGGCACATCGCGGGGAGGCAAATCTGCAAGCCAATTATGCAGGCAGTAAAGAAAGCAGTTGGCATGCAGGAATGTTTCAGCCATGGCGGGATTCGTTACACAATGCTGTTTGTTTTCCCTCACCGCAAAGTAATTTTACGGAGCTTTTTCAGAGGCTTTTTTTTTTTTTGGGTGTTGTCTCAGCCAGTGTTCGGCATTACAACAGCATCTGGCTGGTAGCACGTTCGCAACGTCCAGAGTTTGTATGGCAATATCAACGAAACGACTTTGCGGAGCTCGTAGCTACGTGTCCTCACACCCGGGTCACACCATAAATAGATGATGACCCTTGGGACTGGTAAGATGCATGGCTGTGGTGCTGGCTGTGGTGCTGGCTGAGCTGACGGAACAGTTTAGGCCGAGCCTCATCCTGAACGCGTATTACATGGTGTGCGGGGATATCTGTGGTTGCTTACCGGATGCAAGACGGAGCACATGCCATCAGACTCAAACGTCTAGAGGGAGGACAGTCCAGACAAGCTGGGATGTTGAGCCGAATTGTTTTTCGGATAGTACGGACGACCGTTCACTATATAGGTCGTCGCGCGACAAGGCCGAGACGGATGACCTAGAATTGAGCAACGACCAGTCTGTGTACTCAACCGCGATTGATATGCGTGTTGCTGATCAATGTCGGCCGACTAGGCAATCCTTTCTGTAGTACGGAGTAATCCGTAATCAGTGGGACATCAACCCTTGAGCAGTAGTGCGTCAGCCGCTCACGGCTCTTCACCGTTCAAAGCCGGTCATTTTTTATTTTTTTTTTCGTTTCCAACGTACTCCGTACTCCGTACGATATGATGCGTGTCTGTCTGGTGACTGTGACACAAAGGCAAAACACACTCGTATAATCTGCAGCACCACATGTCGAGAGTTCAAATGCCTGGTCTGATGGGATCCCCGCTTGATGGTGGTATTCGACGAGCAAATGATACTGCAGATACCATCTTGAGTGCCAGTATGTGGAGAATCGTCTCGGCACAAGTGGGCAAACAACGGGCACTCTCCACCATCAAGGTCATATTTGTGGTCTTGAAGAACCATTCGAGCAAATTGCGAAGCATCTTACGGTACGCCATCTGCACGAGCTGAAGTAGATTATCGTGCAGGAGGCGCCGCAAATAGCAAATCAAGCAAAATCCGCCTTCAGCACAGCCAAATTAAAAATAAAATAAAATCTGCCACAGCGGCATCGCGCGGGATCTGGGCTTGACGTTACAATCTATTGCTGCACCTCACTGACGCCACTATCTGCAGCCTCGAACGCCGGGCTGGACTCGGATGGCAACTTAGCCGTTTGAGCGGCGCGTCGACTGGGCAATTGGTTCGACGGCGGCATAAATTTCTTACATGTTTGGCTCCAGCAATCAAGTCGATATCCTAACCTTGAATATACAGCGGGCAGAGTGGGCACGACTATTTCCCGTTTGCTCAAGTATCCTGACCGCAATACGGGGCAACCAGAACGAGGACAATCTAATAAGCAGCATCATTACTCCGTAGTTAGCGCAGCCTGACTATTATTTAACGTGCACGAACCAGCCCAGCTGTACGAAATAATGGTGGGAGAG